AAAAAAAAAAAAAAAAAAAAAAAAAAAAAAAAAAAAAAAAAAAAAAAGGGAAGAACGTGAGGAGAGAATGTGGACCACACGTGTGGACCCAAGAAAAGAGTGGGGCCACCACGCGTGACTTACTTCACTTTATAATCGTGCTCCCAATACTAATACAAAAGCGGTGCGTTTAGACAGAGAAACTATCCCATTTCTTCTTTTTATTGTTAAAAATTTGTAATTTATTAGTTATTATTTAATTGGGGTGAATTTTTATACAAATGGGGGAAAACTACGGTGCGGCGCACGTATCATACATCTGGGACCACTGGATTAGGAACGCGTGTCGCATCTTTCGGCGTATCAGAGTTTGCGCCAAAAGCAGAAGGGACATTCTTATGGGAAAGTGGGACCTCGTGTTTCTTCGCCGGATGCCACGGTGGGGGGTGGGGGTGAAAAACCCAAAATACCCTTTTAAGGATTTAAATCTATATAATATGAACAATAAATATTTTGGTAAAAATAATGTTCCTTAATCGCCTAACAACGTTGGCAGAATTTTATGTTCCCTTTGTCTCCCTCCTTGGGGCTATTCAAATTGGTAGCCCTCTTTAAAGTCTACACCAACCAGGAAATCCTTTGTTGGATGATGAAAGTCCCACATCGGTTAATTTAGAGAATGATCATGGTGGGTTTATAAGTGAAGAATACTAACTCCATTAGTATGAGGCCTTTTGGAGAAGTCCAAAGCAAAACCATGAAAGCTTAGGTTCAAAGTAGACAATATTATACCATTATGAAGAGTCGTGTTCGTCTAACATCCTTTGTCTTTTGGTTTGGTTTGGATTAAAAAGGGTAAGTTATAAGAGGCCGAAAACAGCAGGCAAATCCTGGGGGGCACGCCGAATCCAGACTTTAGCTTTGCTTTTACCCTACAACGCCAAGCACAACAACACCAGGACACTGTTCCCTAAGAGTTACAGTGCCAATTACAGTGTCAATTACAGGCCATGTGCGGCCGAGCGTGCTCAATCTGCTACCCTTTAGCCTAACCTCTAAATCATTTGGTATTATTTACTTGCAACTCTTTCTCATCGCCCCGCCGCCGCTCTCGCCCTTCCATTTTTACTACTCGTTTTGGTCTCTTCTTTTTCTTTCCTTTCACGCGCTTCCTTCGCGTGCTTTCTAGGATTTGGTTCCTTCCTCCTTCCTAGGTTTGTTCAAATGATTGGTGACGTTTCAATCTTTTATACATTTGTTCGTTTTCCATTAAAGGTTTAGGCATTTAATATTATGGGTCTCATACAATTATTAACTACAAAGTAGTACTAGAAACTTACCTCCAAACGTGGCTGTTAAGAAATGCTCATCCAAGTATGAACCAAGCAGAGCACAATGCTGCGCATGCTACTTTGATTGCAGAAACCGGATTCCAACCTGCGACAACTAAGAACAGTCCTGCAAGCTTAGATCTGTATGGTCAGAAACTTCACTCATAAATAATAATCGAACATGATTTCAGTTACCAAGATTCACAGTCACAGACAAGATTTCAGTAACAAATGATCAAATTTGTTCGATTGTTCAGTTCAAACTCTGACCACAGATATAAACAGTTGAAGCAATTGATAAGTTTTTTGTGGTATTCATCCAAACAAGAACTTTTAAGAACCAACAAACGTAGCAATCATTATAACCCATAAACTAATTTTCCTTGACCTATTATTGGCTAGCTAAAAATTAAAACCGACCAAGTTACTTTAAGACAAACCAATGTTTGTAAGTTGGCCAAAATGTTATTCTAAATCATTGATCTTTAACGTGTTCTTAAAGGTGGTGAAAATACACGGCAATTGACGTTATAACAAAAAAAAAAAAAAAAAAAACCTTAGGCATGTGAACAGAGATAGTGCCCAATTAATAATAATCTTATCTTTTACCTGTTACAAACTCCCAAGTATGCCCCGTGACGTCTTCCCATACCAAGTCAAGAACAAACAAAATCAAAATGACTTATTATATACGACAGTGACAAGAGGATTGCCAATCAACTTAATCTTAAAATTTTCCTAGTGATAAGATAGATTAGGTAAAGATATGATATTTATAACCTAACAAAGTCAATAATAGTGGCTATCATTGAATTTTCAGTATTTATAACTGAGGGGTGATTCCACAGGAAGTTTTCGGTCCACCCTGCAACTTGGAATCCCATATATTTACTCAGGTTCTGCATCAGTAAGTTTACAACTTTACAGAAATCTCGTTCTTCTGTGGCCTAAAATTACAAACTTTGGACTGAAATGTCATTGCAAGTTTATAATCAAGCTTGTAATTCGAGCCCATTACATAATTGAAATCAAAACATGATCGAATTCACTTCTCTTTGTGCATACAGTAACTGAAATCTAACACACTGATCCCATGAAGCGAGAAATAAAGCAGATAAGCTCGTTGAAAGAAACACAACCTGTGCTATTTTTTATATACATACTCAAGTAGGCGTCGATCAAGGTCGAAATGTCTACAAAGAAGTCGCTGCAACAAGAAAGAAACAAGATGTTACAAATAGTCTTATTGGATCACGAAAAGAAGCTGACTCAATCTATTATTGACACAATAATTGAAAATCCCCCTCAGCATACGTTGAAAACCTATAGAATCAAACCCAATAAATATGGGAAGTGGACATATGTGAGATCCTACCTCGGTTGGAGAGGGGAAAGAAATATTTCTTATAAGGGTGTGGAAACCTCTCCCTAATAGACGTGTTTCAACCTTGAGGGGAAGCCTTTGAAGAGAAAGTCCAAAAAGGACAATATTTGCTAGCGGTGGGATTGGGCTATTAGAAATAGTATTAGAGCTAGAAACTGGGTGGTGTACCAACGTCTTCGCTGGGCCTCCAAAGGGGGTGGATTGTGAGATCCCACATTAGTTGGAGAGGGGAACGAAAGATCCCACATAAGGGTCTAGAAACTTCTTCCTAATCGACGCGTTTTAAAACCTCGAAGGGAAGCCCTTGAAGGGAAAGCCAAAAGAGGACAATATCTGCTAGCGGTGGGGTTGGGCCGTTATAAATGGTATCAAAGCCAGATACCGGTGGTGTTCCAGCAAGGACGGTGAGCCTCCAAGGGAGGTGGATTGTGAGATCTCACATCGGTTGGAGTGGGGAACGAAGTATTCCTTATAAGGATGTGGAAACCCCTCCCTAATAGACGCATTTTAAAATCATGAGGGGAAGACCTTGAAGGGAAAGCCCAAAGAGGACAATGTCAGATGGTGGTAGGCTTGGGTTGTTACAAAAGCATTCTTTAGAAGGGTGTGAAAATCTCTTCCTAATAGACGCATTTTAAAACCTTGAGGGGAAGCTCTAGAAAGAAAAGCCAAAAGAAGACAATATCTGCAGCAGGTTTGGGCTGGGCTGTTATAACATAATGTTATAACATAATATTATATTAACAGGCATCCCTTTCCGAGGAAAAGAAATGGCATCAATAAATACTCTACATGAACTAATGCAAGCATGTTGTCTTCTCCGTTTGAGGAAAATTATCTAAATGTGAACGTCCAAAAACACATTACAAAATGAAGGTTACCTTGGTTATTGGAGGGTATGCTTTTAATTCCAAATTCAAATCTGGAAGGCGAGCAATCTCGGCTGCATTCTCAAATAAGATATAGGTGGGAAGCTGGTTCATACTCCCTATTAAATTCATTTGCACGTAGTAAAACATTCAGATTGCTTAGTCATTACAAAACTGAAAAACAACATTCAAATTCAGAATGAAAATCAAAAACAATTACCACCAAGTGAAATCCCAAATTTCTCTGCAACATTTGGAAAGAGCCCAAGATCAACTACTCCGAATGACAAATGTTTATTTGAATATCTGCTTAAGGAGATGTGAAAAGGCATGTAAGCTACTTAAGCAAATAGTGTGGTTATATGAAAATAAAAAATTTTAGAACTACAAAAACAATATCGGTGTTTCATATCATGGAGCTGATCTAGCTGTCCTAAAGAGTTAAAATTTCCAGGACTTCATATGTGAACATGAAAAAACTTCTAAATTGAATTCAGCAGAAAACACCAAAAATAGATGATAAGAAAAATTACTAATGCACAACTTCTACATATATAAAGTCTCCTCTCCTTGAATCCATCCACACAGTAAAAGAAAAAGTACTCACGTAACTGCTAGCTCAGGCAAACATCTACTATATCGTATGCAATCAGCTGAGAAGGAAACACGAAACTCAACCTGGCAATTTAGGAAAGGATACATTAAACACTGAAGAAAATCAAGAAAAATGAGTTCTGCATACATGATAAAATGACATACAGATTATAAGCATTTAAACTTGCCAATATTGCCTCTATAACATAATAGAAATAGTTACTCCAAAAGTTAAAATTTGGAGTACGGATTTGCAGAGGTGGAAACTTGATTTCTAGAAATAAAGTTAATTCAAATCAATAGTTTCTATTAAACGTCCAAAAAAGGAAAAGGAACATAATTTATGTTTCATTATTAGTTACTGTGGGATTTGTCTTTGAACTTTGGCTTACCGATTGGTTTGCTAAGTACTATTGTCTTTTAACTTTAGTAAAACAACCTGTTTACTGGTTGTTCTTTAGTTGGTTTGTTTGCATAAACAGGCAGCAGTAACCAACTCAAATCATCAATAAAATCACTTTGAACTCTTGCAGGTTTGATACCTCACTTGTTAGCACAATAAATGTCTTAGACCCTAGTTGCACAAAGTCAATATGAGTCCAACATTTCTTATACACTCACTGAACACTTGTTAAGCATGCTCAATAGATATGTAATAGTGTAGGGCAAAAATTGTGAGAGAAATATATCAATCAAACTCCTTTTTTAAGTATATAAATGCATAAACTTGTTGCCTTGGAATTTCCTTCTTATATAAAAACGATATGCAGATGTTTTAAGAAGGTTGTTTTATTAAATGTATCATTGTTGTGTCTATGTCCTAGATTTCTAAAAATGACATGTCAATGTATTCAGTATCATGTCAAATCTATCCATATTTGTGTTAGGTGACTATCATGACTTGAACTCATTCTTGCAAGTCCTTTATTGTTTACATGGCTCTTTCTGATCACTAGGCCAACCTATTGTGATTAACAATCATTGACTTATTTGAATTGTCTAACAAGGCTTCAAATGTATAGATTGTAGATTTAGAAAATCTCGAGAGTAAGTGCCATTTCAAGTTTCATCATGAAACTTCCCATATTGTTAAGTGAGTTTGTCTGACAAATAAATTTTTCTATATGAATTTTGTACTCTCGCTCTCTCTCAAGCTGCAAATTAAAAATAATTTAAGAAGTACATTAATTTCCTGACTCAAAATGTTGTGTTGAAAACACTTACTACTACTGCATTTAGTTTTATTTCCATTAGAGAATAGTTGCAAGAAGAAATGCGTAGCGTCTAAAAATTTTGGAGCAATAAGAGAAATAGGTAAAGAGAGTGTAGAATGAACCAGCCAGAATCTTGACTTGTTGTTCCCCTCAGTCAGCAAGGATTCCAGCTGCAGTGGAGTTAACTTACTGCAGGTATCTACAGAAAGGATTTTGACAGGAAAGAAGAGAGAATAAGAATATAATGTACTAGACTTGCAAGACAATAATTTGGTTGTACAAGGCTTTGGTAAGATCCCCAGGAGAGTTAAATGAGAAAACGAAGTTGGAAGGTAAACTTAAGTCTTATTTCAAACCTGATCCTTGGTAGACAGGTTGTTGAGTAAAAACGTATATTCCTGTGTAGAAGGAACAGGAAATAGCAAACTATCAGGATCAAATTTCTTAAACCATCAGTAAATTTATGTGCACAACGTTGACTACAACAAAAAAATAATAATAATAAACAACTCTCACCTGCAAACACAATTACATACCAAACCGCAAGGTGATAATCCATCATAGAAGCGAGGGCAACAAGAAAACCCTGAATGAATTAGAACCAGGTCAATGGATCACTGAGCAAAGATATTAAAAAGGACCCGCTCCAACCAAATAGGACCAGAGTGAAACTACAGGTACAACATCAAACTCTCTATGTGCAGCAGAGCAACGCATAGTCCACAGTTCGCTTGCAATTAATGTCAGATACTCATCACGAAAAAAAAAAAAAAAAATTGCTAATCCACGACCAAGGGAGTAACTACCTTAACATAAAGCAGCATATCGGCAGTAAAGGCCTCCGGTGTCTCTCTTCTCACCATCTGCCGTAAAAATGCAATCAGTAACAGAAATTAGCTGCTGAAGCATCATTCAAGAACTAATACTCATATCTCCCAAATATCAATAGACATAAAAATTTGAAGTGAACGAAATGAAAGCATTCAACTCTATTGACCCTAAAAAAATGAAATTAAACTATTAATATCAGATGCGGAAGATACCTTAAGCATAAAGAAAATCAGAAACACCAGAATCGCTTGCATCTCCTACAAGGTGAAAGATGAAAACAACACAAGGAATTAGGTAAACCGAGAAATAAAAGGTACATACTGTATAAACAAGAGAAAAAAACAGCAACAAAGAATCGTAACAAATTGGAGAAGTAAGGATCATTACCCGGCAAAAGAGAAGATGCATGTTCTTATATGAGAGTACATGAGCAGCAGAACTTCGAATCACAAAATAGGAAAAAAAGGCTAGAAAATGGGAGAGATAGTAGGGCTCAGTCAGCATTAGATTCAGCCACTCCCCTGGTCGAAAGTTTCTCAACTCCTTCTTCTTCACCATGGCGCTTCACCGTATCAGACTCGTGGAGATTCCTGCAATTACAAAGATCGAACACCAGTGATTGATCGCGGTAGCGCGTAAGACGCGGTGGTTTCAACGTCAAGGGAAGGACTTGGAGGAAAATAAACGACGAAGATGTAATGGGCCGAGTAAAGCGGTAGCGGCCCACATTAATCCCTAATTTGGGCTGGGTGTAGCCCATAAAGTTTGTGGGGTTTGGGCCTACTGGACTCTAATCCAGTCCAATTATTAATATATATCTATATATATAATGGGAAAAAATAGTGATAAAAAGTTGAAATTGGGGAGGGAGTGGGTGGTGTGAAATAAAGTCCCACATGGAGTTGGAGACAAGCAAGTAGCAAGAAAGGAAAAAGGCAGAACCGACGCCTCAACCCCCCATGTGAGTACAGCCGCCTAGCCGCGAGAGAAGGGTGGAGGGGAAAGAGTGTGGAAGATGGGAGTCCATAGTCATCCACGAGTCTTGCAACCTCGCTCGTTCAAGATTAATGGGTTGATCATGGACAATATCATATCATTATAGATGGGTTGATCTTGGATTTATAAATAAAAAATACATCTTCATTAGTACGAAGCTCTTTTGAAAAAACATTAAACGTGAAAGTTTGTGCTCAAAGTAGATAATATCATACCATTGTGGAGGGTCATGTTTTTTAACATTGCTTCCCCTCATGGCTCCGTGAGATCTTAGGTTGGTTGGAGAAAATGACAAAACACCCTTTTAAGAGTGTAAAAATCTCTCTCTAACGGACGTGTTTTAAAAATCTTGAGGGGAAGGTCGAAAGGGAAAGTGCAAAATGACATAACACCCCTTTAAGGGTGTGAAAATCTCTCTATAGCAGACGCGTTTTAAAAACCTTGAGGAGAAGGTCGAAAGGGAAAGTCCAAAGAGGACAATATCTCCTAATCGTGGGCTTTGGCTATTACAAATGGTGTCAGAGTTAGATACTAGGTACTGTGCCAACGAGAACACTAAGCTCGCAGAGGGTGGAGATCAAATAGTGTGCTAGGTGTACGCTAAGCCCTAAAGGAGGGTGGACACCGAAAAATATTTCAACAAGAACGTTGGCCCCAAAAGGAGATGGATATGAGATCCCATATCAATTGAAGAGAAGAGCAAGTGTCGGTGAGGAAGCTAAAAATGATAATATCTAGTAGTGAAGCGTTTAGACGGTCACAGTTGTCTTACCCAAAGAAAACGCACCGTATCGAGGTTAAGTTATTTATCAATTTACATGGGAGGGGGAGAGAAATAGAGAGAGAAGAGAGGAGGCACCGCCAGTTTTGGGCTTGGATGCACTGAGTCACATGCATGGGTGAGATCACGTGCAAAATTGGACCCCACACACACCTCCCTCCCATACTCCTCTTATTTATTTCTTTATTTAATCAATTAAAGAAAAAAAAAAAAAAAAAAAAAAAAAGGTAATAAATTGAGGAATAGGGTTGGGAGAGGACCTTATCCACTGCCCCTGCCCGAAGAAGAAGAAGAAGAGGAGGAGTCGTAGTGTGGCGTAGGGATTAAAAAAACACAGAGCAGAGGGCCCCACCCAACAGCCTCTCAGTCCTTCACTTCTGGATGTCTGCCACGTGTCGTGATGGCCGACAGTTTAAACATCACCTTCCATTCAGGTAATTTAACGTACCTCACCTTCGCCTCCCCGTACTCCTCCGCCACCACCACCACCGCCTCCTCCGCCTCCTCCTCCATTTTTTATACAAATTATTAAAAAATTACTTCTTTCTTTCTCTCTCTCTCTCTCTCTCTCTCTCATCTTACATAGCCATAACTCTTCACGCTTCACTCTCACTTTCCCCTTCTCAAACCCTTCGTTTTTTTTCACACATTGCTTTCATGGAAGCTCCCCACTATTTCCACCCCGCTTTTTCCACCCAAAACCCACACTCCACCGATACACTTGAAACCACCACCACCGCGGCCGCCGCCGCCGCCGACCATTTCCTTGTCGAAGACCTTCTCGATTTCTCTAATGATGACCATGTCGTCTTCACCGACGCCACTTCCGACAACCAAACCCCCACCTCAACTGATTCCTCCGCTCTCACTTTACTTGAACAACCCAACAATGGACACCACAATTACAGCTTCCTCGACGCCAATTTCTCCACCGACCTTCCTGTTCCGGTAATCATCAACATTCTTCAATTCTCTTACTAATTTTCTTGCGAGAAATCTCTGTAAATTGATGGGTTTTTTTGTTCTTTTTCAATTGCTCTGTTTTTTTTTTTTTTTTTGTGGGTTTTTTCCACAGTACGACGACTTAGCAGAGCTCGAATGGCTTTCCAATTTCGTTGAGGATTCTTTCTCCACCGACGACTTGGAGAAGCTGAGTCTGATATCAGGGGTGAATTCCCGGACCGACGACGACGACGCCGCCGCAAAACCCAGAGAATTTCAAACCGGACTCTCCGCCGGTTTCCACCCCGACATGTCGGTACCGGCGAAAGCCGCTCGTAGCAAGAGGTCTCGAGCATGTATATGGAATTCCAGAGTATCCGTACTCTCCCCCACAAATTCCTCTTCCGAAACCGACGTTGTCGTCACGCTCACGGCTAAGAAACCATCCAAGAAGAAAGAAACCCCCGACGACACGTTGTCCCCCAGCAATGGGGAAGGTCGGAAATGTCTCCATTGCGCCACCGACAAAACCCCTCAGTGGCGAACCGGCCCATTTGGCCCTAAAACCTTGTGTAACGCTTGTGGGGTTCGGTACAAATCCGGCCGCCTCGTACCGGAGTATCGACCAGCTGCAAGCCCGACATTCGTGCTGACAAAACACTCCAATTCTCACCGGAAAGTCATGGAACTCCGGCGACAAAAGGAAATGATGAGAGCACAACAACAACAACATCATCATCATCATCAACAACAACATCATCAAGAGACTATGGAATTCAACCATGCATCCAACAACGACAACGACGATTACTTGATCCACCAACACATAGCACCCATCTACGAATAGAGAAATGTTTCATGAATTAGTGGCTAATTATTTGAAAAATCTGATCTAGAGTTACTAAATTTTCATTTCTAACAGCTTAAAATTTGAACTCAGCATACCCATAATCACTTTTCTTAAAGTTCACTCTTTTGTTCTTGTGTAGTTCATCATAATACATTAGCTTAATCTGGGTTAGAATTTGAATATAGGATTGTGTGAAAGAAAAGGAAAAGGCGATGCCTTGAAGTTGGCGAAAGTACAGAATGGCAGGAAAATTTACTACGGCTGTGGATCTTTTTGCAACAAAAGAGAAGAAAATGGGGCAGCTGAGGAACATGAATGGCAGTAAAATCCGGCTGATCCGATGGCGATGGCGGTTCCAATAGGCCAATATGCAGAGAATGTTGAGAAAAATCTGAGGTTTCCTCTGCCAATTCATTGTACTTTTTACCTTTTTACAGAAACAGAGTCAATCATGTGATAATTGGTAATAATAATATAATAATAATTGATTACTGATTTCAGATTCACTTAAGGATGAATCAATCTTTGGCTCATCACATCACATGCCTATCTTTCTGCACTAACCAATTACTTTCTTCTTCTTCTTTATTATTATAATCAAATTGATTAACACTGAATAAAGCAGAAGGGAAGGAAAAAAAAAAGAATAAAGCTGCTGCAGCATCCTGATCTACGGACATTAAAAACAGAGCAAAATCAGGCAATCAAGCGGGAATCAGAAATTTTTTGAAATTAGATTAAGTTCACCCAAGTCTATGGCTATTGGTCAAGCCCAACGTTAGTAGATATTGTCCTTTTTGGCTTTTCCTTTCCAGCTTCCTTACAAATAATATTCGTTCTCCTCTCCAACTGATGCACAGCTCGTTCTAAGTTGCTAGTTTTTGAACCAACCAAGCAAGATTTGAAATTACATTCACAATAGCCTATGACTATCTCGATCGCCAAAGTCTATTGTTAGCATATATTGTCCTTTTTGGGTTTTCCAAAGACTTCCCTTCAAGGTTTTTAAAGCAGGTCTACTAGAGAGAGAGGTTTCCACGCCCTTATAAAGAGTACTTAGTTCTACTTTCTAACCGATGTGGGATCTCAAGGTTCGTTTTAAGTTGCCAGTTTCTGAACCAACCAAGCAAGATTTGAAATTACATTCACCATAGCCTAAGGCTATCCCAGTTATCTTTCCAGAAATATAAACAACCATAAAGTTCTTGTAGCACCCAAGCACACCGTTAGTATTGTCTTTTTTGGACTTTCTCTTAAGATTTTTGAAATGGGTATGCTAGGAAGAGGTTTCCAGACCTTACAAAGAACATTTCGTTTTCCTCGAACCAAGCAAGATTTGAAAGAGGTAAAGAGGACTGAAAAAGAAATGGGTTTTTAGAAACCCACAATTGGAAGCAAGCAAGCAATGAGGGGAGGATAAAAGTAAGATGGAAGGGCACATGAGTGTGTATTGGTATTATGTGGACATGGTTGGGACATGGTCAAAGAAAGTTGATGAGATATGGGGAACACTCCAACGACACCCTCTCCTCTTCCCACTCACTATCTCACGTGCTAAAGATACCTCAATACACATTAATTTAATCCCTCACTTTACTCTATCATCACATACAAACTACAACAAAAATTATAAACAATGAAGATATCATACTCCTCCTGGGTTTGCATTGCAGGGCACACCCTGACACAACGACCTCGAGGTTAGTCGAGCGGAGTTGCCCAGTTACTGAATCACTGGACTCCTTTGGCCCTGTTTAAAACAGAGATGGGGAACATGTATGCTAAGAATATGAATTAACAGCGAAATTTCCAGTAGTCCATCGTTTTTGGATTCAGTGGTGATTTAACATAATATCGGAGTATGAGGTTATAAGGTTATGTGTTTGAATCTCTATGATTGTCATTTTCTTTCTAGTAAATATTGATAGTCATTGATTGGTCTTGTGCTATTTTCCAAGCACGCAACTATAGGGAAGTGTTAAAATATGAACTAATACTAAATTTACCATGATTATGTGCTGCATATTCACACGAGAGAGACAAGTGATACGAGGAGAATCAACCAGGCAA